TGCATCAAACCAGCCACCTTGAGCCTTCTGTAACTTCTTTTCGGCCTTATTTATCTTTTTCTGTATACTACCAAATTTGCGTCCAGCCCAAAAAGAAAGATTCCTCACCCACCCTTGCTATCCTCCTGTGTATAGGCTCGGTCACACCACAAACCCACGCATCGGAAACAACTTTGCTGCATTCTTCATTCGAGAGCCAAAGAACTTCAAAACGGAATAATTTCCCTTTTCGATCGGAATCATTTTCTGACCAAATTTCAATAAAACAGCAGCATGGTCCGAATGACATATGGGGAAATTAATTACCTCAGAATAAGGGAATAGAGAGCACCACCCATCCGAAGCCACATATCTATCAAGTCTTTCCCGCACCAAAGTATCCATCGAAATTCCTCATTACCATGTGTATATATTGCCTTTAAAACCAAGATCACGAAGGCCACAATCATCAAGAGTATCCCGCAACGCATCCATTTGTCTCTCACCTCTTGGCCGCCCACCATTCTTCTCATGTAACCCTAGAAATTTATTGAAAATCCCCACCAAAAATCATCGGAATAGAACAACCCGCATGAATACCGCGCATGAGATCCCACGTACGGTGTTTATTAGCCGCTTCGGGCCACCCATAAACTCCAAAAATTTCCATATTGGGGAACCATTCTCATCATAGACATTAGCCTCAATATGATGTGCAGAAAAAGAAGCAACCACCGCGTTTAAATCCCTCCACCAAAGTCCCAAACCACCCGACCTTCCGTTACTACTTAAGCAAACTCCATTAACAAAACCATATCTATTACGAATCAACTCAAGACGACGAGAATCAATTTTTGTTTCCATAACGGAAACAATATTCGGCCTATCTCTCCAACACCAATCTTGGAGAGCTTTAATTGTTCATGGGTTTTCATTGCTCTTCACGGGGTTGGACATCTCTACCCTCCGCTACTTGATTAAAGACAGACAGCTCATCGTTGTCCAAGGTACCTTTCACCCTTTTCAATGTGTACCCCTCTTGCTCCATAAGTTCCCCTGTAAACTGCACCCCTGCCTTTCTTTTTCCTGAGAGCAACTCACCAACACCCTCATCAGTCTCCATATCAGCATGCCCCTTCCCCTGAGTTCTCACTGCCTTAAAGACCTTCCTGCCTTGCTTTTTCGGACTAGCCAAGTCCGCCTTAAAAGAAATAGGTGCCATATCTCCAAAAAATTATTCTGCCCCCTAGATTCATCTGCATCTTTAATTTAACTATATCCTTGGGATTTGTGCTCATAATTGGGACAATAATCTGCTCATTACACTGCACGACCCCACCCTCCTTCACAACCTCATTAGTCAACTCACTTCCACTAGACAAGGTGACAACCTTTTCTGATGTGTTCTCTTCACCTGTTTTAGCACCCATAAGGAAGGATCATTCTCCTTCGTTATGAACATCTGTTTTCTACTAGCCAAAATAAGAGACTCCTCCTCCACCTACTTCGATACACCTTTTCTAGGAGACGCCCGAAGGCATAAACCCCACCCCAACTTTTGCATCTTCTCTTCTTCAGACACACTTACACAATCTTTTTCGAAATGACCGATAATACCACATGCAAAGCACAGGTATGGAAATCGTTCGTATTTGAACTCCACTCTCCCCTCCTTCCCCTTCTTGTCCTTTATCCACTAATAACGCCCTAACCCTCCTATATCGTTCCAGTCTGAAAGTATCATTCTCTAACTCCATAAAGGTTCCCAAGTTTGAGGTAACAACTTTGACATAAGCATTCGAACGGCAATTGAACGACAAATTCATCACTCTAATCCAGAAAGGGGATTGATTAAGCTTTACACGATCAGGTTGTTCATCACCTTCAATTTCTTTCAGAATTAGCATATGATTCTCCCAACACCATGGTCTGCCTTTTAATATTTTTTTCTCTATCTTTCCAATGAAAAAACTGAAAAGCAAATAAATTAGGGCTAAGGACCCTAATTAGTAAATTATTCGAGAGGTTACATACCTTCAGTATCGTTCGCTTAAAAGCCTCAACATTATATGGACGGTTGGTACACAGACGCCCCACCAGTAACAGATTAATGTTATCATTCGAATGCTCCCCATCGATGTTACTCAAGACCTATCAGATCCCCTTCTTCCTCCTCCAACCTTAGCGCTGAGTATTGTTGAGCCAACTCATCAGCCATAATGCCGGAGTCCGGCCGTTCGTGACGGAGAATGTCGTTCATGACGGAGAGTGTCGTTCGAGATGGAGATACGGTCTTTTTTTTTGAGAGAGTTTTGCCCTATATTTCGAGGGAGTATCTTAGCAACTTATCAATCTCAAATAAAATTATTCATTAGAAAAATATAATAAAAAAGGTCATTATAAATTTGAAAATATACAATGAGAATTAAGCTACTTTAACAAGATGTCACATCGTTTCATATTGTACTTATGCAATTATGCAAATGAATTTGAGTATTTGACTATTTTTTTTATTTTTTTATTTTTTTAATGTACATAACAATTCATTTACACAGTAGCAATATCCGAGATACAAAGTTCTCATTCACCTATATACCCACATATATTAAATACGTATTGAGTTCATTCTTTGAGGGTTTTTTTTTTTTTTTTTTTTTTTTTTTTTTCTTTTTTTTTTTTTTTTAATTTATTTATTTATTATTATTATTATTAAATTAAACATGTGTTTTTTATATATATAATTTTTTTTACATATTAATAACACGGTTGAAAATTGACTTAAATGGGTAGATAAAGTTATTTTTTTCATAAGAGGTTGAAGGTTCAAAATTCAAATTTTCTTATTTTTGGGTAAGTCTTGTATGTGGCTAGCCACACGGTGTGGTTACATTGATTTATAAGAATAATTTTTAATTATATATATGAGTAACCCCATTTTTTCATAAGAGTAACCTCATTTTGTCCAATAAAGTAATTCCAATTCATTATATGAGTTATATCAATTAGTCTAGAAACAAGTAACCCCATTTGTTCATTCAAGTAACTTTTTTTTTTTTTTTTTGGGAAATTCCCATTGGTACTACCTTGGTTTTGACTTTTCCCATTGATACACTCCTAAATTTTTGCCTTCCCATCGGCACACCCGTGGTTTGGTCTTTTTCCCAATCGTGACTAACACCGTTAATTAAAAACTATTTCATTAAGTAAAAACAATTAATGAAAAGATTATAATACCCCTTTTAAACATCTAATGTCTCAATTTGCGTGTCAAAAATTGCCCGATTAAATTTTTGGGAGTCATGTTAGTCCTTAAGGATCCAAATTAACCACGAAATTAGCAAAAAAAATAACGCAAATGTCTCATATGCTTGTCAAGAAATATCTCGGTTTGCGTGCCGTTATTTTTTTGTGATAATAATTGTTCGGTTAAGGTTTTAGAGGTCATTTTGACCCTTTATGGAACATAATCGAACTCAAAATTGTCAAAAAATTAACGAAAACGTCTCATTTTGCGTGTCATGACAAAAAAAATTAAGAAATATCATGACGTGCAAACTGAGACATTTTTGTTTAAATTGGACAATTTCGTGCCATAAAGGGCCTAAATGACCCCAAAAAAACCTTGATCGAACAATTTTTATGACGAAATAAACAGCATCACGCAAACCGAGACATTCACGTTAATTTTTTGCTAATTTTGATGTTAATTTGGATCCTTAAGAACTAACATGACTCCCAAAACTTTAATCGAACAATTTTTGACACACAAATCGAGACATTAGATGTTTAAAAGGGGTATTATAGTCTTTTCTTTAATTATTTAACTTAATGAAATAGTTTTTAACGGTGTTAGTCACGGTTGGGAAAAAGACCAAACCACGGGTGTACCGATGGGAAGGCAAAAATTTAGGAGTGTATCAATGGGAAAAGTCAAAACTAGGGTGGTACTAATGGGAATTTCCTTTTTTTTTTAAAAAAAAAAAAATCAAAAAATGATTCCATTTAAGTAAGAGAGTAACTCTTTTTTCGCATTTAAGTAACCCTCATACGTAAGGCAATCCTATTTGCTTGTTACCGTGAGATTCGTGACCCCCTATTTTTTAATTAATTGTCTTACATGAGAAATAGCCATATCATATGACTAGCCACATATAAGACTTTGTGCTTATTTTTATGTTTTTAATATAATAAAGTAATAAAAATAAGATGAATAAAAAATCTTTTAATTAAATAAAGAAATTCTAACAAGATAACGCTAAGGTGGGTCCCATATAACGAATTGACAATGATAGTAGATTAGTACTCCAGGTCACATGGAATTATCCAGAAATGTTTTTAGCTAGAAATCAAGAAAATATTTTGTGGGAATAAGCGAATTACGTGTTGGTGAAACCTGAAATGAATAATTATAGGCACTCGTTACTCGTTAGTGCTTTGTTTTCTTTCTCTTTTGAATGATGTTAATGGTTAATGTATATAGGGAGTCTAGATTATTAATCCTACGTACTCACTTGACATTTACATATTCTTTTTCTTTCTTTTTCTTTTTTCAACATATTCTTGGCTGCAAGTTTAATGGTAGTTGAATGTCAATTATATATTAGGCCTTAAAGTTTAATGTCAGTTGAATGTCAATTAACTAAGAATAACTATAGGCGCATAGCACCTATATATTAGCAAACATATAGGATGACATTTTTGAAATTAACTTGCAGTTTGTCACATGAAAGTGGGCCAAGGTGGAAGGAATTTTGGTGGAAAATATGATGGTAAAAAGTACCAGCGTACATAATAATACACAAAAAGTACTATTAAGACAATTAATACTTAATGGTACATTATACATGCATAATAGTATACATGAATGTACCACTGTAGCATAATAGTAGACATGAATGTACCACTGTAGAAAAACATCAAACGAAAAAAAAATTGAAAACCCCAAAACGCCCTTCTATATACATGCTAATTAAATAGGTGATATGCACCTGTATGCACTCATTAACTTAGTGATTGTTACAGTAACTGGGATATGATACCCAATTGGCCAAGACATGAGATCAATTCCGTTAAGATCATTTGATCTTTTACCGCAGAAATTACTATATACAAGTACCTTTGTCTATCATTTGCTAGAAGTTATTATTTGTTGAATAGTATTTCTCCTTGTTATTAGATTTTGTTAAAAACAAATAAAGGAGAATTTACAAGAAAGAAGAGAAAAAGAATGAGAGGAATAAAAGGGGAGAAAAGAAGGAGAGTACTCAGAGTAGTAGGAAATAAGAAATGAGCCTGTCTCGGCTAATCAATTAGATAAACGTTCTAAGTTTATCAAATGGCTTGATTGTAAATATGCTAAACAGAAACTTGTGACATGGCTACGATCTGGATGTCTACCTGTTCGAACTCGAGCTGACTCAGTTGCTTGGGCCTGGTGACGTTGGTAGACAGTGTATAACTCTGTTAATAAGAAATTTGAACACGGTGTAACAGACATTACAGTTGGGAGGAATTCATTTATGGTGGTGCCGCCGTACAGTTGTTTAAATTAGGCTATAATGTTGAAGGATGAACTTTGAAGAACGGGTGGTAGGAACATAAAAGTTTCCGTCGATCAGGTAAGGTCTCAACTAACTTTTCTTTGTCTTTGATATTGCTTGAGTTAACCAATTGACATGTAAGGATTTATATTGTTGTTGAAACTCTGATTTGTTAGCTTTGATTAAGTAGGATTGTAATGAAACGAGATAGTACTATATGAATAGTTAATTTTTTGTAATTTTCTTTTTATTATCATGTAAATTACTTCCTATATACTTCGTATCTTCTGTAGTTGTGCCATGTAGTACCTTTAATTTGTGTATTTGACTGTGAATGATTAAGGCTGGATTGTTGATTTTTCGTGAACATGTATGTATGTGGTAAGTTTTGCTTTATGTGAGTTGATGATTTCGTTTACATAGGGGTGGTTTTTAGAGGAATTAAGAGAGATGTGAGTAAATAGTGATGGTCATCGTTAATTCGATTAAACGCTTATTGTGTACTTGCATATCTGTGAGCTATGATCTTCAATTTTGATTACCAACTGCAAACACATATTTATTGATTATTTAATATTTTGCAGGATTGAATTGTTTCGAATCTACCCACTTTGGACGGAGCAAGATTCTGAAATCCCTATTGCTAATAGAGGCAGTGAAGTTGGTCTGAATGACCGAGGTAGCGGAGTATTGTGTGAAGGTAGTAGGTCTCAACAAACAGAGGGGTTGGAAGAAATTGTATTTGAGGAAGGGTTTGAAGCTGTTGTCCCAGTTATTGATGGGCTACAAAGCCCGTGTAATCAAGGAGCAAATGACACAGGGGACAATATATATCCCCTATTCAAACAATCGAGACTTTGGAAACAGTTGTGGCTAGTAATCACATCAGTGTTGAACAGTTTGTGGACGAGCCAAAAGTGGGAACTGTGTTTAAGAACTGGGAGGATCTAGAAGAGTATTACAAAGACTATGCGGAACAACAAGGCTTTGGTGTGAGTAGAGTCCAAGGCGTGTTTTCGAAGGGGGATATATGTGTTAGGACCGCAATAACATGGAGATGTGAGTGTTGGGGGATACCCGATATGAGGGCCCTTAGGGAAGCAAGGAAAAGGGCTAAGGCGATGGGTATCTCTGAAACTGGAGGAGTTGTTGGGGGAAAAGTATATGATAATGAGTTAAATCGTAGGAAGAGGAAGTCTAAAAAATATGATTGCTCCGCAATGCTGTGTGAGAGTTTAAATTGTGAGAAGGAGTGGGTGGTGAGGAAAGTAGTTCTTGACCATGCTAACCATACGCCTCTCCCTAGTCAGTCGAAGCTTGTAAAGGAGTATAGGATGAAACATTTTACTTCTAGGGTGAGGAAGAGGCTGTTGAATTACTATGAAGAGGGAGTATCCGTGACTTAACAGAACTTAACTTGTTTTTCTTAGTTTTATTTATTTATTTATTTTTATTTTTTTGCTGAATTTTATTTATTTTTGTTAAACATAAATCACTTTTTATAGAATATCATTTGAATTAGGTAAAATAGAGTATACAATTTATTCTTGGGTCTCAACCATCATAATATCAAGAGTGTACATCAATATGACAAACAAGTCACAGATTCAAATCTCACATCTACCATTATCTCCTCTAGAGTAGAATATTAAGCATGAATAGGGCCATGCTGCATCCACATGGAATGTGATAAAGTATAAATATACATATCGTAGTGTAAAAATATATACACACCAGCCGTGAATTGAACATAATAAATCTTAGCTCCTACAACAATAATGTAAGCACATACAAAATTCTATACGAAGTATATTGTAAGCTTAAATAATTACGTAGTAGATAACAGCGGTATCATTATAAATTAAGATAAGCCAATTGCAATTGATTATTGCATACATTAATACGTGTAGAATGTAAAGCTACAAAAAGCTAAAGCTTAAGATGGATTGTGACGACACACATTAGTGAGTTTTGACTATTATACATGATTGCTTGTATTTGATACATTTATAGTGGTTTTTGACCATATATAACACCTCTTTGAAAAACTTTATTATTGATTGCCTCTGTCGCCAACTAATCTTCTTCCACATAAATCGCACAACATGTCCAACGAGTATAAATCCCATTAACCCTAGCCATGCTAAGAGAGAGATCGTTATAGCAGTCCAAATACCGCCGTCATATTGAATTAGATTAGATACCGAGAACATGTATATAAATGCTGTTGCCGTGACAGAAATCCACAAGGTTATCCTTAAAAATGTCAAGAAATATCGCTTGCATGGAAGGCCGCTGATAAGGAGAAGGATGACACTTAGTGATGATATTAGTCCTATTGTGTTACTAATTAGTGCAAAACTATAAGCAGTATCTTTACTATATGACCATATAGCAGTACCTGCATCATGGCCAATATACTTTCTTGTCGTTTTACCTATTGTACCTGAATAGGCTAAATCATCCTGCCAAACGCCTCCTGGGGGGTTAATTCCGGCTTGGAAGGCCATGGTTGCGATCAAGGATGCCACCACCATTAGGGATGTCCGCTGGTCCTCCAACCAAGCGCGGTCTTTCTTGGGTTTTAGTGCTTCCTTTGCGGGTAATGCATTGGCGCGATTGAGGTGTTGCCATAGCTTGTCATCTTGTATCACATCCTTCCGACTTCGCTTATGAATATCCACAGCTGACAATCCTTTTTTTGCTTATAGCATTTTTTTATTTTCGGATGTCCAAGTAAAAATTCTACCATCTGCATATCAAATTGATAAGCTTTAAATTATATCAATTCATAACATTTTACTAGGTGTGTTAGGTCCAAAGTCCAAATGGGTTTTAGATTAATCCGTAACTTTTACTCTCCAACTATTTTGCATGGCCATTTTTATTCCTTTTATTTTACCCTAGGTGCACATGTGATATGATGTACAAATTAAAATACACCTTGGAAAACAATATTGAAAGTTGCGAAGAAGTTATAGTTAATAAAAAAATGATAAAGTTAGGGTCTCAAGGGTTGTGACTTGTGGTTAATAGACAAAAAGAAAAAAAAAAAGACATTTATATT